TCTCGCTGACTGAAGCCTCGAGCCACGTAACGCGCCTTGAAGACAGGCGGAGAACCCGGCGGCCGCTTCACCCTGAAAATCCACATGCCACTGACGATGTTCGCCCCAGGTGGGGGAACCTCGTCGACGTAGGTGCGTGTGGACTTCCAGGAAGCCATCTCTGCGTCCATGGCTGTCTGCCACTAAGAGGAGTAGGGACCCGCCATCGCCTCAGCGTAAGTGCGCGGGGTCGGGATGTCTGGTGCATCCGGGTCTCCCTCAGGGGCAACTAGCATGGACACGAGGTGGGGCAAAGCAGCAGCAAAGCACTGGAACTCCTCCTGTCTGTCCTCAAGGACGTCCGTGCCAAGAGCATCTCAAGATAACTAGGCAAGAATGAATGAACTAACAGAAGTTTGGGTACAAATATGAAACCCTAGTTGGGGTTGTACCCCATATTGGCTACCCCACTACAGCCTACAAGCATAATACAGTTTAACACACCCCCATAGGCAAAGTGGGGGAGAACAAAGGGTCACAAGACCAGTCCAGCAAAGCAAAGCAAAGCCCAGGGTGGATCACAACGTCACCACACTCCGAGCACAAGTAAAGGCCACAAGGCCAGTTCACATGCAGTGCTAGATATAGTACAAGACAAGCAACACAGTGATCAAAACCTAGCAAGCAAGCAACAAGATATATATAAAGTACAGTACAAAGAATGTCAAGCAGTGAGCAAGTGAGGAAACGTGGACACAAGGCCTAAAGAAGTACAGTGCCGCTGATGATCACTAGGCGGGAGCGCCTTGGTGAAGATATCAGCAGTGTTGGCCTTCGAGTCCACGTACACAAGCCGAAGCTGACCGCGCTACTGAAGCTCTCGAGCAAGAAAGTAGCGAAGAGCAATGTGCTTCGTCCTGTGCTCCAGACTGTGCTCCTGACACAAGGCAAGAGCCGCCTTGTTGTCACCGTACAGAACTGGAGGAGAACTAGGCCGCTCTCCCAAGTCAGTCAGCAGGTAGGTCAGCCAGCGTAACTCCTGTGCAGCCATGGCTGTGGCGTAGATCTCAGCCTCACAACTAGAGCCGAGAACAGAGGAAGAGCGGGTGGACCGCCACGAGACAGAACCAGAGCCAAGGCTGAAGGTGTAACCCTGTGACGACCGCTGCGTAGCCAGGTCGTCCACCCAAGAAGCGTCCGAGTGACCAGTGAGGACAACTCTGTCGCGTCCTCCAAGCACCAGCCCCATGCCTGATGTATTGCACAAGTAGCGCAGCACCCTCTTAGCAGCCTCCTAGTGCTCTCGCCTGTGTCTCCCAGGCGCAACGTAACGAGCAAGGATGCTAAGAGGGTACGCGAGGTCAGGTCGTGTGCAAGTCATCAGGTACATGAGGCAGCCTACAAGCTCTGGGTACGGGCCACTCGGCTCTACGGACTCGTCCGAAGGTGGAGCTGAGAGCGAGTGGCTGGTAGCCAGAGGTGTGGCCTGTGGTGAGGAGAACTGGAAGCCGAAGCGCTGAAGGACCTGCTGCACCATGTGTGACTGAGTCAGGGTGATGGTGCGGCGAGCTCTGTCCCGGGTGATCTGCAAGCCAAGGTAGCTACGCAGTTCACCCAGGTCAGTGCAGGTGTGTCTCTTCTGCAGCTCCGACTTCACACGAGCGAGTGCCTCAGTGTCAGCAGTAGCAAAGACCAAGTCGTCGACGTACACGAGAATGTAGAACGGCGGCAGCGACGTGTCTGTGCGCAGAAACAGCGACGGGTCAGCAGTAGACGGCGCGAACCCAAGAGCCGCAAGTGTAGTCCTCAGTGTGTCGTGCCACTCACGTGGCGCCTGGCGGAGACCGTAGACTGGCCGGCGGAGACTCCACTGGGTACCAGGGGGAAACGACCCAGTAAAGCCAGGTGGGCGGCGCAGCCAGATCTCCTCGTGCAGGCTGCCCTGCAGGAACGCTGTGCTGAAGTCAAGAGAGTGAAGCTCGTAGTCACGCTGAGCAGCAACGTGCAGCAGAACCCGAAGAGTGGTCATCTTCGGGGTGGGGGAGAAGGTCTGGAAGAAGTCGACCCCCTGACGCTGACTGAAGCCTCTAGCAACGTAACGAGCCTTGAAGACAGGCGGAGAACCTGGCGGCCGCTTCACCCTGAAAATCCACATGCCATCGACGATGTTCGCCCCAGGAGGGGGAACCTCGTCGACGTAGGTGCCTGTGGACTTCCAGGATGCCATCTCTGCGTCCATGGCTGTCTGCCACTGAGAGGAGTAGGGACCCGAGATCGCCTCTGCGTAAGTGCGCGGAGTGGGGATGTCTAGTGCATCCGGGTCTCCCTCAGGGGCAAGCAACCAGGCCACGAGATGAGGTACAGCAGCCGCAAGAGAGTCAAAGTCCTCCTGCCTGTCCTCAAGGACGTCCGTGCCAAGAGCACACTCACCCCCGACGGACGGAGGACAGACAGACGCAGACTCTGACTCAGCAACAAGGCTAGCAGCGTAGTCTAGACGACAGGCAGCAGCAAAGTCAACCAACTCAGCGACCAGAGCAGACGCAGCCGAGGACTCAAAGGTAGGGTCAGTGACAACAGTAGCTAGGAGACGCGTGACTGTAGGGTGCTCAGCGCGATACCGGTCAGACTCAGGGTCCGGAACGGCAGGCAAAGAGGACGCAGGAGGAGACGGTAGAGGGACACGCCGAGGAGCAGTGGAGGGACGCAGAGTCATGTAGTGAGTGCCAGGGACAGGAGGAGGACGCTCACGACGGACACGACTACCAGTGCGAGCAGGACGAGCAGGCGACGCAGGACGAGACTCAGGCTCACGACGCTCTGTAAGACCTCCTGTGGGACCAGTGTAAGGGGAGGGACCAGGGAGAGGCGAGGCAGGCGGTAACTGTGACTGCGACTGGACAGGCGGAGGACACTCTACGGAGGGAGGAGGACAAGGAGGAGGAGCCTGCCCAAGAACCTGCTGAAGGAGCGGTACGAAGTACGGTCGCGGCCGCGCAGCGTCTCCAGAAGCAGAAGAGACTCCAGCGGCCGGGTCCTCAGGACCAGCAGGAGCTCCAACGTCCGGGTCCCCAGCACCAGCAGCAGCGCCACCGCTCGGGTCCTCAGCTCCAGCAGCAGCTCCACCAGGCGGGTCCGCAGCACCAGCAGCAGCGCCACCCCCAGAGTCGGCAGCTCCAACTCCGCTAGCACCGCCAGCGCCAGAGTCCCCAGCTCCAGCAGCTCCAGTCGCAGTGCTCCCAGAACAACCAGTCCCGGCAGCTCCAGTACCCCCAGTACGAGCAGCCCCAGCACCCCAAACTCCAGCCGAGCCACTAGGACGGCGAAAGCGCCGGACGTACCAGTCACGAAGCTGCTGCGGTGTGAGAGACTGCTCAGCACCCCGAACCGGAGCACCCCCAGACGCAGTAACCCGAGGCTCCGTAGGCTCAGTAGCAGCACCCCCAGGCTCAGTACCCGCAGGCTCAGTACCCGCAGGCTCAGCACCCCCAGTCGCAGCACCCCCAGGCTCAGCACCCCCAGGCGGCAAACTCTCAGGCACAGTACCCTCAGCTCCAGCACCCGCAGTCCCAGCACTCCCAGGCCCCGCACCCGCAGGCTCAGCACCCCCAGGCTCAGCACCCCCAGGCTCCGTACTCTCAGGCACCGTACCCTCAGCTCCAGCACCCTCAGTCCCAGCACCCGCAGCCCCAGCACCCCCAGGCCCAGCACCCCCAGGCTCAGCACTCCCAGCAGCACCACCCGCAGCAGCACCTGAGTCACCTGTGACCTCGACAGGCTCAGCGACGGGAGGAGGGTCTACCTGAGAGACACCTGAAGGAGCAGGACCCTGAGGGGGAAGGGGGTCTACCGGAGGGGGACCAGGAGCAAGGAAAAGCGGCGGGGGAGGGAGGGGGGCAGTGCGGTAGGGGAAGAGACGGTAAAAAGGGACCGACTCGTCAAAGGTGACATCCTGAGAGGCGAAGACCCGGCGCGAGGTGGGGTGGTAAAACTGCCAGCCAGGCGCGTCAGGGACAAAGCCAAGGAAGACACAGGGAAGCGTGCGGGAGGAGAGCTTGTCCGCGGACGTATCGCGGACAAGGGCACGAGCACCCCACACCCGGAAGCGCGACGCATCGCCAACCTCCCCCGTCCAACGCAGTGTGGGCGAGGTCTCCGGCAAGGAGACACAGGGCCAGAGGTTGAGCTGATGCGCAGCGTACCGGACAGCAAACGGCCACAGAAAATGGGGAGCCGCCGCGTGAACCAAGGAGGTACGAGCGACCTCCATGACCAAGCCAATGCGGCGCTCAGCAACCCCATTCTGCTGTGGGGAGTCCGGAAGCGTGAAGGTCTGCTCGATGCCCTCCGCCTGACAGAAGGTCCTCAAGAGATCGGAGGAAAACTCACCACCTCTGTCAGAGTGCAGACGCAGGACAGGAAGATCCGTCCGAAAACGGCGGCGGAGCTGGAGACGAACTGTGCGGATCCAAGGGATCAGAACAGCAGGGACCTCACCCTTGGTGCGCAAGGGGAAGACCGTGGTGTAACGCGAGTAGTCGTCGACAACCAGCAAAAAGTACCGCTCACCGCCCTGACCACGAACGCGGGCTGGGCCCCACACGTCCAGGTGGAGGGTCTGCAGAGGAGCCTCTGTCGGGGGGAACGAGGAGGAGTGAGGAGCGGCGCGCTGCCGCCCCTCGACGCAAGGAAGGCAAGGCGGCGCAGGCGAGGCAGGGAGGGGAGGGAGGGACCTGGGAAGACCAGACACAAGGTGGCGACGGTGCATGCCACGAAGGCGTGGCAAGGAGGGGTGACCCAGGCGGTGGTGCCAGAGAAGAGTCTGGTGCGACAGGGAACGACACTCACAGGCGTGGGCTACCAGACCTGACGCAGACACCTGACCGACAGCAGCGACCTGAGGAGACGCAGTGGTCAGTGTGTAGAGACTCGACCCCGGCCGACGGGTAAACGTAGCCAGGTGACGGCCGGTCCTGGAGCACGTGCAGATCGCCACACGCTGTCCTCCAGGGGTAAAGGTGTCAACCCACTGATCCTGGAGGACAGCGTTGCTCACCAGGTTCGTCGAGAACGAGGGGAGGTGGAAACCCGACAACGAGCCAGACGGAACCGCCGGACAAGGGAGGACAGTGGTGGACTGGGCAAGGACTGGGCCCCCAGAGGGGTCAGCCAAGGAGACTGGGACCGGTGCAGGAAGCGGTGTGAGCTCAGTACTGTCACGAAAGAAGCAACGGGAAGCACCTGAGTCAAGGGTGAAGGTGTGACAGGCCTCAGCCGGTGCGGTACCTGAGAGAGCAGTCTCTGTGGGTGCTGTACCTGAGAGAGCAGACTCGAAACCAGCCGGGACAGCACTGGAGGGAGCAAGTACAGGGGGCACCATACCAGAGAGAGCAGACTCACTAGTACCCAGGGCAGCGGGCTCTATACCTGGGTCAGGCGGCACACACAAGTAACAGTCTCCCTCGGCACTAACAGTCAATGCATACATGGCAGCAATAATAGCATCATAGTCAAGAGCAAATATATCAACACCAGCCCTCATGAGCTCAGCCCAGCGGGGGCGCTCAACATCCGCACCCATCTCCTCACGCCAAGCATCGTCAAGGCGGGAGAAGCAGCGGTACGGGGTGTGGAACCTCCCACACGTCTGTCCCTTGCGGTCACCTGTGCGAATGACATAAGAACAGCGGCCACTGCCCCCCGACGTCCCACGCTGAGCAAGCCACTCACGAAGCTGCTGGGTCGTCTGGGGACGCTGCTGCTGCTGGGAGCTCTGGCCCGAGCCAGTGCCTCCACTCCGACCTCCGCCGCCACCACTACCACCGCTCCGACCGCCACCGCCACCACCGCCACCACCGCCACCGCCGCCACCGCCGCCACCGCCACCGCCGCCACTACTGCCACTGCTTCCTCCGCCGCCCCCGCCTCCACCACCGACCCCACTCCCACCAGCGCTCCCGCCACCGCTCCCTCCAGCACCGCCTCCCCCCCCACCTCCCCCACCTCCTCCCCCCCCAGCGCCACCACCACCACCCTTGCCCCCCTTGCCCTTGCCGGTGCGGCGCCTCCCACCAGGAGCAGAAGCAGCGCCAACAGACTCAGCACCAAGGAAGTCAACAGCAGCAGCAGCAGCGTAGGAGGGAGCGAGGGGAGAGGGAGAACACCCCTCAAAGATGGGGGTGCGAGGAGCGCCACGAGCAGCACCGACAGCTACAATGCTCTTTTCGGCCGCGAGCAGCTGCTCCTCTAGGAGGGCGACTGTGAGCTCAGTGGGACAGCGAGCAAGGAAGTGGTCTCGAACTGAGCGGAGGGTGTCAGGGAGACGGGTGACTATGAAGTGGAGTGTCCAGTACAGTGGAGGGGGGTTCTTAGCGCAGAACTCGGTGGGAAGGGCGGCACGCAGGCGAGCATCACTAGTGCGAAGGTGGGTGATAAGATCGGCGACTGTAGTAAAGGTGGACAGATCGGGGAACAGGTACGGCAGCATGAGGCGGCTAAGCTCGGCTGTGGCAGGCGAGGAGTAGCGAGCAACGACAGCATCGTACAGGGCCTTAGCGGATTTGCAGTCGCCAAAATGCTCGAGCTCAGCTAGCGGCAGGTGACTGCGAATGGCTAGGCGAGCAGCTGCGTCACGAGTCTGCCAGTGGGAACGAACACTAAGCTCGGCTGTGGCAGCAGGAGCAGCGGCAGCACCAGACGCGTAGTCATAGAGGGAGATGTGGTCCGTGCTATTGCTCATAAGATACAACTGCAGGTCGTCGAGCCAGGAAGTGAACTGCACGGGACGGCCCTCAGCATCGAAGGAAAGAACGCGAATAGAGGCCATAGCTCAGGCGTGAGGGCACAGCAGAGCAGCGGCAGCAGCAGAGGGGACGCGCTAGAGCGAAGCTAGCAGCCACAGCAGGAGCAAGCGGCGGTGCACAGGCAGGGAGCAGCAGGCGAGAAGCGCGGCGGGCGGGCTGCGAAGCGGGCAGCGGGGCGGGCGGGCGACGCAGCAAGCGGGCAGTGAGGCAGCGGGCGGCGCTGCGAAGCAGGTAGCGGGCGGGCGGGCGGCGCTGCGAGCGGGCAGCGAGCGGGCGGGCGGGCTGCGAAGCGGGCAGCGGGGCGAGCGGGCTGCGAGGCGGGCGGGCCGCGAAGCGGGCAGCGAGCGGGCGGGCGGGCTGCGAAGTGGGCGGGCCGCGAAGCGGGCAGCGAGCGGGCGGGCGGGCTGCGAAGCGGGCAGCGGGGCGAGCGGGCTGCGAAGCGGGCAGCGAGCGGGCGGGCGGGCTGCGAAGCGGGCGGGCCGCGAAGCGGGCAGCGAGCGGGCGGGCGGGCTGCGAAGCGGGCAGCGGGGCGAGCGGGCTGCGAAGCGGGCGGGCCGCGAAGCGGGCAGCGAGCGGGCGGGCGGGCTGCGAAGCGGGCAGCGGGACGAGCGGGCTGCGAGCGGGCGGCTCGGCGGGCGGGCGACACTGCGAGGGGCGCGCGAGGGCGCTAGTGAGGGGCGCGCGAGGGCGCTAGCAAGGGGCGCGCGAGGGCGCTAACGAGGGGCGCGCGAGGGCGCTAACGAGGGTGCGCGCGAGGGCGCTAACGAGGGGCGCGCGAGGGCGCTAACGAGGGCGCACGAGGGCGCTACGAGGCTAGGGCACGGGGTAGCGTGGTAACCGCATGCGAGCGGTGGTGGGCCCTAAAAAACGGTCGGTAGGTCCTAGGGACCTCCTGCTCTGAATACCATCTCAAGATAACTAGGCAAGAATGAATGAACTAACAGAAGTTTGGGTACAAATATGAAACCCTAGTTGGGGTTGTACCCCATATTGGCTACCCCACTACAGCCTACAAGCATAATACAGTTTAACAGAGCACACTCACCACCGACGGACGGAGGACAGGCAGACTCAGACTCAGACTCAGCAACAAGGCTAGCAGCGTAGTCTAGGCGACAGCGAGCAGCAAAGTCAACCAACTCAGCGACCAGAGCAGACGCAGCGGCGGACTCAAAAGTAGGGTCAGTGACAACTGTGGCGAGAAGACGCGTGACAGTGGGACTGGCAGCACGACGGGAGTCAGACTCCGGGTCAGGAAGAGTAGGTAGAGAGGACGCAGGAGGAGACGGCAGAGGGACACGCTGAGGAGCAGTGGAGGGACGCAGAGTCATGTAGTGAGTGCCAGGAACAGGAGGAGGACGCTCACGTGGGACACGACGACCAGTGCGAGCAGTACGAACAGGCGACGCAGGACGAGACGCAGGCTCACGACGCTCTGAAAGGCCTCCGGTGGGACCAGTGTAAGGAGAGGGACGAGGAAGAGGCGAGGCAGGCGGTAACTGTGACTGCGACTGGACAGGCGGAGGACACTCTACGGAGGGAGGAGGACAAGGAGGAGGAGCCTGACCAAGAACCTACTGAAGGAGCGGAACGAAGTACGGTCGCGGCCGCGCAGCGTCTCCAGAACCAGCAGAGACACCAGCGGCAGGGTCCTCAGTACCAGCAGCAGCTCCAACTCCCGGGTCCTCAGCTCCAGTAGTAGCTCCAACGCCCGGGTCCTCAGCACCAGCAGCAGCGCCACCGCTCGGCTCCGCAGCATTAGCAGCAGCTCCACCGTCCGGGTCCTCAGCTCCAGCAGTAGCTCCAACGCCCGGGTCCTCAGCACCAGCAGCAGCTCCACCACTCGGGTCCTCAGCACCAGCAGCAGCGCCACCGCTCGGGTCCTCAGCACCAGCAGCAGCTCCACCACTCGGGTCCTCAGCACCAGCAGCAGCGCCACCGCTCGGGTCCTCAGCACCAGCAGCAGCTCCAAAGCCCGGGTCCTCAGCACCAGCAGCAGTGCCACCCCCAGGGTCCGCAGCACCCGGAGCACCACTCCGAAGACTGCAGCGTCGCGTGTACCACTCTCGGATCTGCTGAATGGGGGGGAGCTCCTGGGTAGGAGGGGAAGTACCGGGACGAGCTCCAGCAGCACCTCTCCGGAGGCGGCAGTACTCGAGGTACCTCTCCTGCAGCTGCTGGGAGGAGAGGGCTCCTCCAGGTGTAGCACGCTCAGTCTCAGTACCCCCAGACTCCGCACCCCCAGGCTCAGCACCTCCAGGCTCCACACCTCCAGGGTCCGCACCTCCAGGCTCAACACCCCCAGGCTCCGCACCTCCAGGCTCAACACCCCCAGGCTCAGCACCCCCAGACTCAGCACCCCCAGGCTCAGCACCCCTAGACGCAGGACGAGAGTCAACAGCTACCTCGACAGGCTCACCCGGGTCTACCTGGGACACACCTGAGGGAGCGGCACCCTGAGGGGGGAGGGGGTCTGGTACCTCAGCACCTGGAGCGAGGAAGAGAGGCGGGGGGGGGAGCGGGGCAGTGCGGTAGGGGAAGAGGCGGTAGTAGGGGACGGACTCGTCAAAAGTGACGTCCTGAGAGGCCAGGACACGCCGCGAGGTGGGGTGGTAGAACTGCCAACCAGGGGCGTCCGGGACAAAGCCAAGGAAGACGCAGGGAACAGCGCGACGGGAGAGCTTGTCCGCGGACGTGTCGCGGACAAAAGCTCGGGATCCCCAGACCCGAAAACGTGACGCATCGCCAGCCTCTCCCGTCCAACGCAGTGTCGGAGAAGTCTCCGGTAAGGAGACACGGGGCCAGAGGTTGAGCTGATGCGCAGCGTATCGGACTGCAAACGGCCACAGAAAGTGGGGGGCAGCCGCATGAACCAAGGAGGTACGAGCGACCTCCATGACCAAGCCAATGCGGCGCTCAGCAACCCCATTCTGCTGTGGAGAGGCCGGAAGCGTGAACGACTGCTCAATGCCCTCCTGCTGACAGAAGGCCTCCAAGAGGCCAGAGGAAAACTCTCCACCTCTGTCAGAGTGCAGACGCAGGACAGGGAAGTCGGAGCGGAAACGCTCACTAAGCTGGAGACGAGATCTGCGGATCCAAGGGATCAAGACATCAGGGACGTCACCCTTGGTGCGCAAGGGGAAGACCGTGGTGTAGCGCGAGAAGTCGTCAACAACAATCAGGAAGTACCTCTCCTGACCCTGACCACGGACGCGGGCTGGGCCCCACACGTCCATGTGGAGTGTCTGCAAAGGAGCAGTCGTCGGGGGAAAGGAGGAGGAGTGAGGAGCGGCGCGCTGCCGCCCCTCGACACAGGGAAGACAGGGAGGAGCAGGTGAGTCGGGAAGGGGAGGGAGCACCCTGGGAAGACCAGCAACAAGGTCCCGTTTGTGCATGGCCCGAAGGCGCTGCACAGACGGGTGACCAAGGCGGTGGTGCCAAAGGACAGTCTCATGCGCCAGAGAGCGACACGAGCAGGGGGCGGACAGCTGACCTGACGCAGACGCAGACGTAGACGCAGACGCAGCTACCTGAGGGGACTCAGTGGTCAGTGTGTACAGGTCCGACCCCGGCTCTCGAGTGAAAGTAGCCAGGTGGCGACCCGTCCGAGCACACGTGCAGTGTGTCACGCGCTCGTAGGCAGGGGTGAACTGGTGAACACCCGAGTCCTGGAGCGCACTACCCGCCACCAAGTTCGTAGAGAACGAGGGGAGGTAGAGACCTGACAGCGTGCCGGACGGGACCGCAGGACAAGGAAGGACAGTGGAGGAGGTCGCAATGACCGGACCCCCAGAGGGGTCAGCAAGGGAGACAGCAACTGGCCGAGCGAGTGGCTCAAGGACAGTGCGGTCACGAAAGAAAGAGCGAGAAGCACCTGAGTCCAGGGTGAAGGTGTGCAGTGCTGCAGTCGACTCAGTACCAGGGGGCACAGACGCACTAGCACCTAGGGCAGCAGCCTCACCATCACCTGGGGTAGCAGACACGCGAGCACCTGGAGCAGCAGACGCACTAGCACCTAGAGTAGTAGGCTCACCAGCACCTGGAGTAGCAGACACGCGAGTACCGGGAGTGGTAGCCTCACCTGCACCGAGGGCAACAGACGTACTGGCACCGAGAGCGGCTGCCTCACTCACAGAGCGACTACCACTACGGCCACCCCGACTGCTCAAACCTGCGTACCACTCACGAGCCTGCTGGAGCAGAAGAGGGCACGGCTGCTGCACCTGTCCACTACCTGAGGCTCCCGAACGACGGACGCCAGAGCGACTACCACTACGGCCACCCCGACTGCTCAAACCGGCGTACCACTCACGAGCCTGCTGGACCAGAAGAGGGCACGGCTGCTGCACCTGTCCACTACCAGGGGCTCCCGAACGACGCACGCCAGAGCGACTACCACGCCGGCCACCCCGACTGCCCAAACCGGCGTACCACTCACGAGCCTGCTGGAGCAGAAGAGGGCACGTCTGCTGCACCGGTCTACTACCAGAGGCTCCCGAACGACGCACTCCAGAGCGACTACCACTACGGCCACCCCGACTGCCCAAGCCGGCGTACCACTCACGAGCCTGCTGGAGCTGCATCTGGCCACGTCAGGAGCAGCAGCAGTAGCGGCAGCAACAGCAGGAGCAGTAAAGGCAGTAGCAGCAGCAGTAACGGTAGCAGTGCTAGCACGGCAAAGCTC